ACTCAAAATAATTTAAAAAGACAAATTACAATAAAACGGTTTATTACCCAACTATCAGAAATTTCACAACATGCCAAGGAAGAGAGGAAGGAGCAATTAAATAATTAAAATTATAAAGGATTAAAATATATATATAAATGGGGAATATCGCACTTCTGACAATCGCTGCGAGTGTATGTGCTAAATTTGGAGAATCCGTGCTTCTCGAATGAACACTGTATGTGGCCGGCTCACGCGTCGGAAAACCTGATTTATTCGTGTACCCACCAGACGGAAAAACAAAAAATATCGTGTATCCACAAGCACTCCAATAAATAAATAGAATTGAAACAATACTTTGAAATGTTTTACCGATGAGAATGAATAATAATAATAAGTTTCAATAAAAATGATAAAATGTAAATTGAATTTTATCATAACGAGTTTGCTTAAATTTCCTTTCTTCTGAGATCGCAGCAATGCGCGACGGGTAAGCTAGTATNATAGAATTGAAACAATACTTTGAAATGTTTTACCGATGAAAATGAATAATAATAATAAGTTTCAATAAAAATGATAAAATGTAAATTGAATTTTATCATAATGAGTTTGCTTAAATTTCCTTTCTTCTGAGATCGCAGCAATGCGCAACGGGTAAGCTAGTATGTTGATAAAAGTCTTCTATAATACTGTCATCTTTTTCTGCAGTTAGTGCATATACTTGAATTATATTTAAAATTCCTAGATTTGTTTTTATTTTTACTAAAATTACTTGATCAGAATATGATAAGAAGAATAAAACTGCCTTGCTTGTACTTTCGTTACATAAAACACCTACTCCATGGTTATGATTTTTCGAATTCTTTCCTGAATAATAAAAAATTCTATTCTGTGTTTTGCACACCCCCATACCAGGCCATCTAACTTCACTTACACCCAATATGTCAATCTTTAACCTTTCCATTTCCTTCACTGTATTATCTAACTTTCCACTTTCAAACATACTTCTAACATTCCATGTAGCTAATTTTTTGTTTTGCCTACAGGTTCTTAGCACCCTCTGACTATTGAAGGTCTGCCGGGGACTGAGGGCCATTCCTGGATTTTATGTCATAATACTATAACAAGGAAGAAAATAACGTGGTGGTTTTCCATTGCCTTCCACGTTTCCATGCTGTTGACTATAAGTAAATAGTTCATCTGCCTTATGTAGCAATTTCTTATCCCTAGATTGCCCTTCATCACAAGAATGAAGTTGGAAGTTTATCCCGACTCCTGCTCAGTCCCCTCCTATGTTAGCCATCTTACCAACGTTGCCCATCCTTCACCAGAGGCACTATGTCCCACACTAGGAGGTGTAGGTAGGGATTTTCCCATCAGAAAATTTGAGACCATAAAGGCATCTCAAATTTGCTAATGGGAATTCTCAGATATTTTTGAAGAACAATATTGGTTAACTCTTCAATTCATTTAATATAACTTAAAACTTAAGTATAAAATATATGCTTTTCCATTATTAGCAAGTTAGCTACTTTTAAGAATGATTAAGTTATGATTGATTAAGACCCCATGACATAAGAGGCCTAGGGCCAGGTCAGGCCCTGAGCACCATTTCTATGGAATAGTACAGTATATGAGAATTTTTTTAATAATATAAGAAATAAATGTTTTTGTTTCATTCTAACCATGATTAATTTTAAATAAATGTTTACTATTTATTAGACCATTTTACAGATTACACTTATCATTTTGCAACAGTGTAAAATAAGTGTAAGTGTAACTGTTCCAAAAACTGCAGTTTTGAAAAATCCAGCAATGAGTTGTGTAACTTTCCCAGCAACATTGTGTGTGATGCCACCTGTTATGATATTTTGTTATAAATTTTTGTTAATAATTATTATTAATAAAATGGTTTTTTGCCATTTAAGCAATTACTTAATTTTTTGGGTAAAGATGAGTAAAATCTTCATTAAGTCCAACCTTACTCATATCTTGAGTGGAGGTTGACCCCCTCAACCTTTAACCACCAAAATTTAATAGCATCAATGTCCCTATAATACACAAATTTTCCTGCAAAATTTCAAAACCTTTTGACAAAAAGCACAAGAGCTTTCAAAGTTGGTGAACAAAATGGCATCCACACACACACAAAAACCCTTCAATTTTTTTTTTCTTTTGCATTTCTCAATGTTTCAAGATCCCAAGTTCAAAAATGTAAAAATCTTGGAAGTCATTTTTTATATAACAGTCAAGAAAGTAAAAATATTATGACAATGTAATACTTTGAAAAATATGAAAATTATATAAAAGTATTTTTTTTTTTTTTTTAAGAATTTGAAGACTAAGTTCACCTAATTTAAAAAAGACCATTCGATTATAAAAAACCGATTCAATAATAAGTTTGATTTGAAAAAGACCATCGGACGAAAAGAATTACAAAATATAATTGTAAAGTATCGTCACCGGGAAGCTTTTCTAATCTACATTTTCCAGCGCTCACTTCTTCGTGGATAAAAAGCAGAAACAACCCAAGAAGATATAGATGGTAACAGGAAGACATTTGTATGTCACCAGTTCCAAAGAAAATCTTTGTATTTTTAATTGGAAATTTTTGTGTTTTTAAAAGGACTTTTTTAGTTTTTTGGCAGCTAGTAGCCTAGAAAGGAAGGTCGGTCGCCAGAAATGTATTGTCTAAAACACAAACTAACAAATGGTGTTCCCAAATTGGACAAAATTAGTCTTCAAATTCTTCAAAAAATTTAAAAGGGCCATCAAACAAAAAGAATTACGATATATAAAAGTATGTTACGAATGAAATAATGAACTTTTATATAGCTATTGTATATTAAAAATATTTTGTGAAAAAACATCAGTCAAAATCTTTGGGACTTTTGGAATGATTTTGTACATAAACAGCTTATATAATAATTTTTTTCATCAAGAGTTAAAATGGCTGTTGATTGTAAGTATGTGTAAAATACTTGTTAAAAACTTTAAAAAATATCTGAGACTTGAGTTCATTTTTCTGGAGAATCAACCTTCAGAAATATGTCAGTATGCCTAGGAATTGAGTTCCAAGAATACCTGTACTAAAAACACCTAACTAATACTGACTTTTTGGTATTTTGCTAATTTTGAAAATACCATTATTATTCAATACTTCTCCCTACTGTATTTGAAGTTTTAAAGAGTAAAAATGTAACAGTTATAACATTATTATTAAACATCAAAATATAATTTAATATTTTCATTAAAAAAGTTATCTGTAACATTCTCAGTTCTGCTCTGTCTAAATACCACAACTCTCAAACTTTCTTATGCAACTATTCCCCAACCTGTACATTTTTTATTGTTTCTTGGTGCCATGATGGTAAAAATTAACTTTACATATTACGATATCATATGATATGGTAAAAATAAAATTTGATGGTAATATTACGATATCATATGATATCGTAATATTACCATCAAATTTTATTTTTACCATCAAACTTGTAGTCTGTAAAATATCAGACTACAGGTTTGAACACTACTATCACGAAATAAATAGTTCCATTTGTATTTCATGCTCATCTTTTCATTTTACATGCAGATATTCCACATAAGTGTTCAGTCTCATTGAACCACACTTCAGTTACAGTTAACTATATATAGCTTAGTCATATAGTTATCATCAAATATCTTACAGATAACTTGCAGCATTCAAATATATGAAGAATAATATATATATTATAGAGATTTTAAAGTCATTTTTCTTATTTAATTAAGTGCAACATCAACATTTAATATATTAATATTTACCTGAATCTGATGCCACTTGAGTTGGTTCTAATAGTGACTGAACTGCAAAAACAGCTTGGCTATCAATTGCAGACACATTTCCTATTAAAAAAAATATGACATTTTTTCCCCATAAATATGTAACTATAAGATTCAAACTTTCTAGTTAAAATATATAATGAAACAAAAATTTTTAAAAATCAAGTAGTTTTATAGTATAATCAAGCTAGAAAGTTCAGATAAATAAAATATAACTCATTTTCAAGTGTTAGTATTATATTTATAATTTAATAATTTAACATAATATAATGAAAACACACATGTTCTGGAGCTTCTAATCCCAGTATTTAATAAATCTTAAAATCTAGACTCTAAACATAACTCCACAGATGTAAGTAATGATATAATATATAATGTTTTGATGAAAGTAAAAATTTCAAAAAAACTAGAAATAGTGTGTGTTAATAAATATAAGCACTTCCCAGTTATCTAGGAATGCATATACTGTACTTGTTTAAAAATAATGCTATTGTTATGGAGGCAAGTAAGCAGAAATAAACCAATAGTGGTTGCTATAATGACAAAAGTTAATGTGTTTTATAGTTTTCTTCTTTTATAACTTACTAACTGCTGTTTGCTCACATCTGCTTGCTTACCTCAATGACAAGTGTTCCTTTCAAATATTGTAAGCATCTCTAGAAGTGAGTCACATAAACTAGAAAGTGCTAGAACATTTGTTATTCCTAGTTTTTTGTAATCTTTACATTATTACATCCATTAGAACATTATTTCTAAATTCTACAATTAGGATCAATCTGCAAGCATCTAAACTATAAGAAATTCATTATGAATACATACATAAGTCAACATTCATATACCAATCTATATATCATATGTTACATATCTTTGTTCATAAACATATATATATATATTCAAGAGTTTCAATATGGAAAATTTACATTAGATTAACACTGTCTTCCTCAGATCATTTAAGTTTATATATATTGTTATTTAAATTAAACAATGATATATAATTACAAAAATACAGAAATTAAAATAACAATTTGTTCTATATAAAAGGACTAACTTCTTGTCAGGATAAAAATATTGTATTATATAGTCCAGGGGTGGCCAAACCTTGTCATGATAAGAGCCATAAATTGCATCACATATTAGAATGGTATTTTATATATAACCTATATATATATAGGCATGTGTCTTCATAAAATTTTCTGAGGGGGCCAAGGCATAAAGACATTATATCAATAAATTTTTACAAGTAGATTATAGAATATAGTATTGCATTAAAGCATCACATGACCAAGGGTGTAAGATTACATATCTCAATCAATTTTACGATTATATATTGTGGAACTTTTTATTTGATTCCAGTGAGGGGCAAGTGGTCTATTTGCCCCTCTCTGTGAATGTCCATGTATATATAAATAGCATCAAAGTTGGACCCCAACCACTAAGAAATAAGGAGTATGGGTCCAATAGACAGGAGCAGCAATAAGAGTCTAGAAGAGCCACTGTTTAACCACCATGGGTAATTCTGGATTAATATGACAGATAATGCATTTGCAGTGATCCAATAAATTGATTATTTTTTTCTATAATCCAAATGCTTTGGAGTTTCAAAATTTGACTATTAAATAAAAAAGTTCAACCCTTTGACACCAGAGTACTAAATATCATGAAAGAATTGAAACCCTAAGTCTAATTCAAGCTACTTTTCTCAAAGTTGTTGCAGGGAAGCTTATTTATTCTGTTTATATTTATTAACCTCTCAACATAAACATAACTATTTGTATTAACTTAGCATCTTCTCATAATCTGTATAGATCTTGTTGACTCATGATGGGTGTATGGTCTAAAAGTATCTTGGCTTTTTTATAAAGATTTCTTTTCATTCCAAATGATGCAGTTTGAGTTAAATTTACAGTTGAGGGGCTTCCTTGATAAGTAACTTAAAAACCTTCCATATTTCGTATCAACAGAATAAAATAAGTTGTATTTATTAATTATTTTTTCAATGCAAAAAAAAATTTAAAATCTTTTGTTTATATTGTTAAACTTCATAAAATTAGAAAGTCATAATAATAGCAATAAAACAGAAAGTGTTATTTTTCATAATATGTCATAAAGCTCACAATTCAAGTTAAAATTTAAAGTATTTTTATATGTTAATTTAATAATTTACAATTACAAAATGTAAAATATAAAAAAATATTTAAGACTGAAAAAAACACATAAGAATAATTGTTTATTCTGCATTATGCAATTAAAAGATTTAGCAATATTTAACAAATGTGATAATCACTTAGCAATATTTAACTAATTTTACATTTCAAACTGCTTTCTTAACAAATATATTTGTCTTACCTATCTTACTGATGTTTTCTTATCATACCAAACAAAACAACAAGCAAATAATAGTGTTTTCTGAAAAACAATTTAAAAAAAAAACAAAATATAATTTTTTGCCAAATCACCATCTCACCCTTAAAGTGTGGGTTAGTGTAACAATATATGGATGAACCCTCTACCAGATGATCAATTACAAGTTATACTCATTATTCAAGCTTCTAAAATATTACATGCAAAAAACAAAAGTCATCCCTGATATTAACTAAGATTTTTGAGGCTACAGTAAACAAACACATGTAAAAATTTTGCAAGTCAAAAACAGAAGCATTGGTTTATTCATCTATTTTTACAGCAATTGTACGTAAGCAGCACACACTGCAAGCATGGGTTTCAACTAACACAATATACGAGGTCTGTTCAAAAAGTATCGGACTTTTATTTTTTCCGTGTAAACCAATAATGCACGGGAGGCCTCTTTCGGTGGAGTTGTGGAGGGGACAGTCATGCACAGTCCTGAATTTTTTCCCGCCTGCAGGAAGCATCAGTCGCTGGCAGTTGATCTATGAGTGAGAACATATAGTGAGCGCTTGTCGGATTCCACTAAGTTGGAAAATGACTGAACAACGTGAGAGCGATATTGCATCAAATTTTGCCAAAAACCTTGGCGATACCCAAGCATAAACCATTCGCAAGATTCAGCAGGCTTTTGAAGATGATCCTCAAGGCCAAAAAAGTGCGGCAGGTCCACAGCAATATCAAGGTCATGTTGACAGTTTTTTTGACTCTCGCGGGGTGGTGTATCGTGAGTATGCACAACAAGGCCAAACCATTGCAAAGGAGTACTACCAGGAGGTCCTTCGTCGTCTTTGTGATGCTGTGCAATGCAAATGACCAGATCTGTGGTCGATCAAAACTTGGCAGCTCTATTGTGATAACACATCCACTCATTCTGCGCATCTGATTCGGGCTTTTGTCGCCAAACACAACACTCCTGTGGTTCAAGTGTTGTGTTTGGCCAAACACAACACTCCGTACTCTCCCCACATGGCTCCGTGTGACTTTCGGCTATTTCCCAAGCTGAAAATGCCACTAAAAGGAACCTGATTTTAGTCGAGAGAAGACATCGTGCGGAATGCGACGGACCGGCTGATGGCCATTCCAAAAGATTGTTATTTAAATTAAACAATGATATATAATTACAAAAATACAGAAATTAAAATAACAATTTGTTCTATATAAAAGGACTAACTTCTTGTCAGGATAAAAATATTGTATTATATAGTCCAGGGGTGGCCAAACCTTGTCATGATAAGAGCCATAAATTGCATCACATATTAGAATGGTATTTTATATATAACCTGAACGCAGTGTTTCCATTGCTGGAAACACTGCGTTCCAGCAGTGTTTCCAGCAATGGCAGGAATGCTGGGAGAAGTGCATACACTAGCAAGGATACTACTTTGAAGGGGATCAAAAATACATTTATTGATTTTGTACCTCAAAATCAATAAATGCATTTTTGCTGACCAAAGGTCCGATACTTTTTGAACAGCCCTCGTATACCAGTGGCATGTTATAGCTTCATGGGGCTCAGGTGAATTTGAATTAATGGGCCCCATGTACAGTGTTGACTTCAGACATTTTTGTTCGGGGAAATTTTCTGGGGAAATAATTTCTTATGAAAGATTGGTTTGGGCTCCAGGAAATTGCCCTTTATGCTCTTAGGATGCATGGTGCTTTCGGTTTATATAATAATTACACATGTTCACCATCTAATCCTGATTTACCCTATGGAATGCAAGAGATGCATGCATGTTTTATGTTTACATGTAAATTTTACCATCACAAAATTGGATTAACAATTGGACCACCTTTGTCAATAATTACAGCAAAGATAGTTGTATAGAAGTTAGAATGGAATGAAGCAAGAAAATATGCAGATGATATTCACATATAAACATAAATATATTGGTAATTGTTTGATTATTTGGGAAAAAGAACAGAATGAAGAATTTGTTAATTAATCTGCATCAAATAAGATAAGATTAAAAGAACATATAAGAGCAATACGTGGAAATTATGCAAATTCAACCGTAGCAGAACACTGCAATTCAACAGGATGTGAAATAATATTAAAATCTGTTAAAATAAAAAAAAAAGAAGAAAATAATTATAAAAGACGGTTGTACGAATATAATCAAACAAAACAATAAAATGAATAACAATAACGGAAGAGAAATGCACCAATCATGGAGAGGAATGATAGCTACAAACAGGAAATTGGCGTATAAAGAGACAGATAGAGTTGGGAAAGGACTAAGTGAAAGTGAAGAACAACGAAAAGAAATGTAAGTTCGAATTAGTATTAAAAGTATAAATTTGTTAAAATTAATGTAGAATGACAGTATTTAATGTAATAATTATCGGTTTTATACAGGAATAATTTAAAATTAATATTAATCGTAATTGGAATAAATTATTGGAGAATAAATGGAATAGAAAGAAACAACAACAAAACAGTATGGATTTATAATTTATTATTGTCAATTTTAGAATTTTTAAAATTATTGTCGGGAAACTAAGTTTGTTTATTGTTTAAATTTTAGAATTTGTTTATTAAATACCTGCTGAGGAGGGACATACAAGTCCGAAACGCAGATTGTATGTGTCCAGGTAATCATAAATAAACCAATTTTAATCTGTGTGACTGTTGTGAGAGCAGCGAGCAAGAT